TAGTGAACATAAGGAGTATGACCACTGTGTACGTCGAATATTCAACACGTTTTTTCCCCGTGATTAAGCATGAATTGTCAATGATTTTCATCCCAAAAGCTACATTCGTAACGGTAGTGGAGCTCCATTAGTATAATTTATCTTTGTATCTGCAACTATAAAGACAAACATTTAACTGACAGAAGTCCCAACCGCTCAATCGCTATGTGCGAATATGCAGTCCCCAGCGTACAATTTAACTTCTTTGCACCCAATATCACAACCGTACACAGTCGTAATTTACGTAAGTCCAAACGGCACAAATATAAATCCAGGTCATCCCTTAAAAAAGCATATATCTACTTGTTTGACGGACATATTGCAACAAGTTTAGAGTAGTATTAATCTTTTTAGCCTTTTTAACCTATAGCATGGATTCATGAACATTCAGAATTAACTTTTGAACCTTTTTTTGAGTAAATGCAAACTCTTCGTCGACTGAACGTCCCGATTGCCGGCTCCCGTCACATTGCAAACACTGCTTTTATATAGATGCTTTTCTGGAGTTGAATTTTAACATTTTATACAATTCTGGTCTATTACCTTTTGCTTCAGTGCATCAGTTGAGAACTCACCTTGTACTTGTTTTGGCAGCCGCCATCTTTTAAACAGTCTTTTTTTTTAACGTACGGCTACACTACAGTATTTACGGGCGGTTATAATTGGGAATGAATACTGAAATTAAATATTGATTACTTACTTCACTTGTAGTTTTTGGGTTATGTTGAATGAGAAACCAAAACAGAAGTTTCACGCCTTCTCATTCAACACTCTTGTCCTATTTCCCCGAGGAGTACGGACCCACCAGATGAACTGTGACCTCAGGCCGAGATTGTGTTCTATATCTACATGATAGAGATACATTCATTAAAAAATACCCTATAATGTTAGTACTGTCCCTCAAGTCAACATTATAGGAACGCCAGTGATATTTTGCAGTGATATTGGTTTAAAATTCTAATGATAAATGACAAACTCATTCCCCTTTATATACCAAAGGACCACAATATAAAACACACACGAAAAGTGTTTATCATCGTTTACTAGATCACAAGGTCACATCATGATGATCTTCCTCAATTCCTGTTATTGTCTCATTTCCCTCTACTCGGCCCCGAGATCATGGCGCAATTCAGACATCAATGAAAATTCCTTGTTTCACTTCACTTATATTAAAGCGCGGTGCCTTTACATTTAAATGCTTATTAATTTACTCAATTCAGATTTAAATATGTATTTATTTTGACAACTAATTAAATTTAGATTTATGTCTACGGGTGTTTCGTTACAGTGGAGATTGGTGTTTAGATTTTAACATATATTTCAATGACATTGAGAAATGTCTGTCGACATTTTACTTCCCAATTATTTTGATTCTATTAAACATTACCTGTATAACATATTACATATAAGTAACAACGTAGTATCAACACATCGTGTCGATAGTTACCCCCAAGTGTGCATTCATTGCATCGCTAATTGTACCTTAATTGCCATTTCGCTGTTAAGTAAGTATTGCTCTAGGAGTTTTCCTTTGGCAATGGTCAATCATGTTAATCATTTCTTTAAGTGTTGGCCTTGTTGTCGTCGGACTGGTTATTGCGTGTAGCCACACGGTCAACAGACAGCGACAAAAGGTTTAGCGATATGTGTATGGCATCTTGCCAAATATGTCCAACAGCATTTTACACGTATAAACATCATCTACCCGGTTTACTAGGTTCAATAAGCGCCCACGAAAGACTTTTTCAGGCTATATCGTAATGATTTAATTTGTCTATAGATTTATAGATTCAATGCTAAAAAACATCTATGTTTTATCGTATAACCTCAAAATCAGACAACGCAAAAGATGATGACGTCATATACCGCAATATCTGGCGCGGTATTTGTAATTCAAATTTCTGATTCAGATTATTTGAGATTTAATTACTCCGCACGATTTGGTTTTGTGCAAAATAATTTTGTTTAAATCAAAATTGAATCCTTGACAATAATCTAAAAAAATGTCATCTGGCTTTTAAAATTAAATAATAAGGGATAACCATGATTATTTTAAAGTTTATATGGTACATAAAGACAAAATGTGTGTGTACGTTTGTGTATAAACAGCTTCACATACAGTTTTTCCGGTTTATATCGTATAACGCAAAAACTACTCGTGGTTATTCTTTTTTTGGTGGTAGATCGGTGGGAAAAGTCATACGGTATAACCAAACAATCTGGTTTCCTTGTACTTGAACTTTCTTTTAATACCAAAAACCAAGGCAAACCGCCAATGCATTCGTCACAATGGTAAATGTATATTAACTGATGAAATAGCATTATTCATTTAAACTGTTGTATCATGAAAAATATAATGAAAATGACTTGTTCCTTTTTTAGTAATGCAAGTACAGTTAAATATTTAAAACTATTATTGCGTTGTTTTCATTTGAAAAACGCATTTTTCCTGGAAACATGACTTATCGAAAAATGCAGTCCTTTTAAATATCTGAGAATCGAATAAAAAAACATTACAATATTTTTTTAAACTTAAATACTTGAATTAGTTTGTTTCGTAATAGGAGCAAAAAGGTTTGATTTATTAGTATAACTGAAAAGCAAAAAGCAAATTAATCAGAGATATGCAAACAGAGACTAAGAGTTTTGTTTTAATTGACAGCTTGGCGTATAAATGAGGTGCGGATTACTTTCAAACTTCGTCAAAAACAACAAAGCTATGCAATGTACACAAACATGTCTACTATAGTCAAATTACATTATGAAAAGAACAATATGTAATATATATTTTTATTATATGATCGCGACATGAGATGTCAACGTTTGTTCGGCTAGTAATTTCTAGGTAAATGGTTAGGGCGCAGGTGGTTTAAAGACATTTACTGACCAAACAAACGCAACAACTCGACCTTTCGATGTACTAAATATCCATAACGATGAACGCACGGACGTGTTGCGATTGGTTTGTTCCCATAATTAATTGACCGTTTTGCGAGTTCTAATTCCAGTATAAATTATCACCCAACGCGCACGTTGGAAAAGGTGTAATTAAGCTGATATATGCAATGGTCAAATCTCTAACCTGATATTTATTTCTTCCTGAAGTACACCCAGTGGATAATCGACATCCTTGAATTGTTAAATTCCAAAATTCTATGACAAAGCAGGCATTAGAGTATTTTAAAAAATCCAATAATGTTTCCGTATTATCATCCTCGATATCCAGGAGTTACTTGAATATGTCAGCAAAATCGAAGGCTCGGTGTGCGCCACTTTGTTGATGAGACAAGAAGACTAGTTCGATCATTTGGTGTATATCAAAAGAATTTCGCGGTCATGTAACGGTAAAATCTCCTTTGTAATCTTCAAAGGACAGGTATCATTCTAGCGATTGACTAATCAAATAGCTATCTTTGTGCCTTTAATTTTGCAATGACATATGACAGGGGTGTAGACAGCGAAAGTGAGTGTAACCCCTGAATATCGAGGATGCCGTATTATATACAAGGGGATACTTATCTATTACAGACTGGTCCTTTGACGAAACGTTCTGATTTATATAACCATGTCGCGAAATACGATTGTTAAAATAGCATTTTTTTTGCACAGTTTCATTAAAAAGAAATACAAAAAGATAAACGTAGGCCACACACAGTACTAATATGTTTTCCTTTCTAGGACTCATCCGTTAAGCTAGGGACCAAAATGGTTAAAATACAGTTGAACTCAACTACTTTCGTGACAGAAGAAGAGATGCGTAGATCCCCATTATGATATGAAATTTTAAAGGTTTATCACGGATTCATTTCAAACTATTTATTGCGACTGCTAAGAAGATAGCGTAATGACTGTTTAAATACTATCCTACACTCACATATTCAGCTAGTTAAACATGTACGTATTATGTCCTGGGGCCTAACAGTTAATTGGTTGGATGTCTTATGGTGATTGGTTATACACTACATGTAGTGAAAAGAATACCTTCAGGGTGGACAACACCTTGGATATGGATCGTCATACTTTGCTGTCCTGAACTTATACTCCTGTGTGTGATTGTGGTTACATCCTTTCAAGCACTCCGGGTGTGTCTTGTCGAGTTATATAGGTTATTTGTTTTTGCCATTCGAAAAGGACATTGACTTTGAAATTACCTTATACATGTATTTATATATTTCTTTCAGAGCAGAATGGAAAATCGTCAGTGCCGTTTCTTTGCAATGGCGATTGTGGCTAGCATCATTGTATCAATGACAGGAAAAACTGATTCAACCATAACTGGCCAAAACATTTCCGACGCGGACAGAGCATCCATAATAGCAGATTATTTCATTCAGCATGAATTTGAATCTCACCACGTTTACGAGTCGGCAATGGCTGCCAGAGACTTGATTAACAACGTTTCTCCTGGAAATACCTCAACGACTTCAGAACTCCTTGACGCCATTGCCTCATACGTATTGGTTTCCATGCCAGACTTTCTCCGAGATCTGATAGTTCAGGATATTGCTAAAGTAATTGTTGACGAAGCAGAACAAGCCTTTCAACGTACTAACTTAGTACTAAATTCATCTAATCCGATCTCTGAGGTTGAAATGCAACACATCTCATCACAGTTCGATTTTGTCAAGGCACTGACCCGAAGCATTACTATCGCCAAACCTCTCATAGAACAGTATCGACAAGAAGACGATTCCAGTGTTTTTATTATTTTATTGAATAAGGCAATTGAGGTAACCGCATACGCTATTTCTACTCCAACATTTCAAACTGTCATGGATATTTTCATAGAAGAACTCAGTCAAGGGTTCTTAAAATCAGGACTTCCGGAACGCATTGCGAAGGAAGGAACTGAATTTCTGAATGATAGCAATAACACATTATCCATTGTTAAAACAATTATTGAAAGTTCAGATACACAGAGACTCATATCTAGGTCTTACAAAGTTAGCAAGCCTGTCCTTGATAATCTTTACAACGGCGATACTTTGTTTTTATACGCCACACTTATGGCAGCGACTGGTGACTCGACCGGCAATTCGCAAAATCTAGCATTGAGGTTCTTATTTCAAATGCTCGAATCAGAATTTTCTAAAACTTACAGAAAACAGAATAATGGTGTTCCTGCCTCCCTTATAAGTGATCCAGTTCTTACATACGCAAACATTTTAGGGCAGATGAATTTACTCCCTGCCATTATGCCATTGCTTGGGACTGGAAGTGCACGTACAATGTTGCCGTATAACAGTTCGGTTGAGGAAGACAAGATCAGTGACGTGTGTTATGAGGATATGATCGACTTTATTGATGCAGCGAATGATGAAAAAGAATGGGCATTGAGAAGTGAGTATTTTTTTAGTTATATTATTCCTGTCATTTTATTGTCATAGTTTTTATAGGAACTTAAGAAATCGTATGTATAATTATAAGTATTAACGATGTTTTGAATTTGCAACTGTTATCTCTAAATTACTTACACATATCTAAATAACATCTTTTTAAAGGGTAAACATTGCATAGATTAAAGCATATGTTTGGTCTTCAAGCAAGATCATTTAGACGTATAAATGATACAGATAACACTGAAGTCCTTTATGAAAATATCATTTTTATTTTTTCATATATTGTTTATATATTATTATATATATTTTATACATTTGTATAAATAGCCGAAGAGAGTATTGTTTTCCAGTTTTTAGTAATTTTTTCACCGGTTCACACCGTTCATTAAAGAATCAAATAATTTCATTAAGTAATAGATATTAAATAATTATGATTTATACGATAGTTTCCTAATTTCCTTACATTTAAACTACATTTTCACGAATAATTTAGTCAGGAGATAATACAATGTGTAAAATAGAAATAGGCAAAATGTCGGGAGTTCACACGACCTAATCACTCTCCTCTTTTATAACAAGATAACGATATGTTTACTCAATTAACGACGTCGACAACTAGTCCATTCTCATGAAACAATACAAAAGAATTCAGCTGAGATAGCAATGTAACTGATAATGTTTCCCAATTAATGTTTAATACGATACCAAGTATCGGAACCACGCCACACTAAGAACCATCAAGTTATATAATTACCATTGTCACCATTTTGGGTTCTTTAAATATAATTCCTCCATATAAGTTAAATGTTCCGATTCTTCGTATAAGCTGTTGGAATTTAAAAAAGAAAAGAGATCAAACAAACGGACCCACAGAAACTCATTTCTGGATGCTTAAAAGGGCTGGTCGGGGAAAAAAATACAAAATAAATGGGTCTAAATGCGTTCTCTGGCCTTCCAAAAGTTATACCACGGCAATATGATGGTCGAGTTCTGCTTGCAATGTCCAGTTTTGACCACTGAAATCTCGGGGAAGCCCCGCGTAAATTTAGCGCAGATCTATTTATATATGTCACGTGATTGTTTCGAAAGTGAGGCAGTGAAGATAACAACAATAGCACGCCGTCATGTGCCATGTCGGACTCAACTAGCGGACAAGACAGCAATACTATACGTAAATAATTGTTTTCAAAGGTCACGTATGATGCAAGTGTATTATTCCTACCTATATGTTGTTCTTATATATAACGGTATTGATACCTGGTGCCAGTCATGACTTTTGCATGCATCTTTTTCTTTCGCCGCGATGTTTACATTTGGCCTTGTTGATGACGCGCGTGCGGTAAAATTACATCACTGATCTGGGTCAATTGAGAGTTTGAGACTGTCAGGTGACGATTTAGGATTTCTTTAATATAATTATAATTTTTACTCTTAGGGAGTGAATTTCAGCAAATTTGAATCGGTATATTTCATAAGAAGGTATTTTAAACATGTATATGCCATTTTAGCAAATATGACATTTTTTCCCCGACCAGCCCCTTTAAATTTACATACATTAGGGAGAATACTCAACTTCGAGTAAACCTCATTTTGAAATTACAACAAGCGGGGAGTAAGGAAAGATCAGAATATATTTGGACTTTACATATTGTGGCAAGGCAAAAACCTCAGAATCATTGAATTCTGAGGTAAAATCGTCTGATTCCGCACAAAACTTTCTATAAATACCTAGATTACAGCCCGTTGGGATTGACTTTTGAAGGATATCATAATGCAACAAGACAACCTAATTATGTGTATACCGTACAAAAAAAGTATAAGGTTTCATTCGTTTCATAGATATGCATGTCTTTTTTGACTAGTGATTGGTATCAATACTGATTGATAAATGACAAAAATCAATGACATCTTACCTTCAAATTTCAATGTTCAGTAAACGTATGGGAAGCAAAATACTTTATTTAATTACGCTGGAAAAGCAACGAGTAAACATGACAGAGTACTATGTACATGTACCAACTTGTAAAACTGTCGCGATAAGGAAGACGCATTAATTGTTGTTGAAGAATTTAATGCTAGCAATTTCCGTTTCAGTAAATTTAACTGAAAATAAAGAAATTGGACAACAGGATTTGCCTATATAAGTCCTCTCCTAGCCAGAGTTACAAACATTCATATGATATATATATCGAGAAATAAAGGGAGAGCACTGCTTCATTGTAGATGTAGTTCAGAAATAATGAGTCAAGGGGAGTAACTAGGAATTCTGATCGTACGAAGCATTTAGTCTTACACTGACATAGAGCGTTCATATCAGCAGGTTATGAATCCTCGCCATAAACAACTAGGGATTTTCGGTAATTTGTAGTTTATAAATATATTATAGATACATATTATACTAGCTCAAGTCGTCATTTTATAAACACCATCAGGTCAAATTCTTTCCATTCAACATTTGGTATGATATAGACTTGTATGTAAGATGAATTATTTTACGCTATACAGAAACAACCAACTGTGATTCATATACTTGATGTATAGACTATTGTTAATTGTAATAGCCTTAGTATCATCACTACGTTGAGAGCTACTCCTGAGTAAGATATCAATATGATCTTATAGGTGATTGCCGTTCTGTAATGAGTTTATCATAACTTGTATTTGCTTATTATAGTTTCGACTTTCAAATTAATAATGGTAGGGGATTTATCGATCCTGTCTGTAACCATACATATATGAAATAGACAAATAATCATTATAGAGGTCAAAATGCAAGTTACTGGCATTATTTATAATAATAATAATTCGAGGTTCTTATATACCGCTTCATCACAAACTAGTTCGTAGGTCGTCTCAAAGCGGTTCACAAATTATTATCCGTGGTTATAGGGCCTTTGCAGCCAGACAATACATTTTTCGACTCCCCGGGGAGCATACAGACGGAGCTGCCATTTCGGCGCTAACAGCTAGCATTCAACACTTTTAGCACTGCCCAACCACGTACTCATTTACAGTTGAGTAAAGTATCTTGCTCAATGATACAACATAGTGCCGTGCCGTGACGCCAACCCGCAACCCAGCGTCTACCACTAGACTACCGTGCCTCCTATCTCGCAGTTTGTATAAGACAAAAAAAAATCTTCTGCATCCATAATTTTTAAACACGAATGTTACATCATTTTGAGGTTTGTTTAGGGCTTTCTTTGGGGTGTTTTAAACCCCAAGCGGCGCAACGCGCCGCCGGGGTTTGATCGGAATCACTTTGTCCTATTCCGGCGCTTCCCCGTGCGTAAAAGCCTTCTTGGAAATTAAGGCCGCATTCTGTCTTCAAAAAATGATAGTAAACCCTACGGTACCTGTATATATTACAGTTTACTTAAAAAAACATGAATTCTCCATTTGATAAAAAACATATCGATATGCAGTGAAGAATAATACTATAAGTATAGTCCAATCTAAACGGTACATCATTTTCTCTGCGAAGATTTTCAGTTTCAAGTTTAGATGAAGCGACGGCAGGCTAGGTGGTGTGTTCCACCTATACATGTAGCATACATTAACGGTTCTACATAACTACACTACTTATATCATTTGTATCTGGAAATATTATCAGATAATAGCAGCAAACGGCGAAATTGCAGTAAAAGACCAGTAAAAATGGCATTCTGTATTGTTGTCAAGCGTGATGTCATAATTAATTGGCGTCGGAAACTACGCTACACATTCCCGTGCTTTTCTGATGTAGGCGTGACGTGAAAGAATGTACAAAATAGACAATTTCATGTTATTCCCGTTCCAAACGAATTATTTATTTCACTTGTATAAAACAAATACGTGGTAATAAAAAACACAGCGTAGTGGCAAATTGTGTCTGTGTAACAGTCTCGAGAAGTAATAACTATTATTCAAGGGAGGGGGTCTGCGATTTACGCTTTAACCCAGAAGACGGTTGATATTTTATCCAGATGTACATACTGTATATTGTCGATATAAATATTTGTAACAATTGCTGCTTCTCTTTCAAAGCTGAGGTTATTACGTAATCGTAGACATTTAAACGTGCGTTTGAACATGTGCATTTTCGTGCTGTGGAACAATTATTGAGTGATAAAAATGGTAAATGTACGGATATTGAGCGTGAACGGAATATTTTGAAGGACAAAATTAATGCTATTAATGATTTATAAAATAATCATAATTCAAGAAATTCAAGTATGCCGGATCCGTTCCCTCGAGGTTGCTGGACTATCAGTTCGTCAATTTCATAAAAAAAGGTTTGGTGTCCAGCAGTTTTGCTGCATTTTCTTGTTTAAACTGGGATAAGGTAAGTTAAATTACAAATATACTTGTTATCTAATGCATTCTAGGGATTTGGACTATAGATATCCTTGATTTTTGTTGTGTTCTAGGGGTCGAACTGTATGTATACTTCTTATTAATTATATGCAAGGGAGATTAATTATAAATATAGTTGTTCTCTGCTGTATTCTAAGGGCTTGAACTATAAACATTCTTCTTCTCTGTTATATTTCTAGGAACTAAATTATCCATGAACTTGTTCTCTGCTGTGTTCCAGGACGTTTCATTATAAATGTATTTGTTATTTGTTATATTTTAAGGATTTGAACTATAATGATACTTGTTATCTGTCAATTATTTAGAGAACAGCTATAAATGTATTTGTTATTTGATGAATTCTAGAGTGTTGAAATATAAACATACTTGTCATTTTCTGTATTCTAGGGAGTTTTATAATATATGTAAGGAAGTTGAACTGTTAATAAAGTCAAGAATAGAAGAAAAATATTGGAAAATCAATTCCTTGAGCAAAACGACATTTTAAAATGAAAAAGCAGAATACAGAAGTTTAAAGTAATAAGTTGAAACATGTTAAAGAGCTTACATAAATATAAAATATGAACTTCACGCTTTTTGAGGAACAACTGGACAGTCATCTTCAAGTGCTAATAAAGTGTTGAAAATGGAACGGATCTGTTAACA